GTCTGTCCATTGTCTTTATATGTAGTTCACAATGGCATGGCGACCAAAAATTGTGGGGAAGTCTTAGGGCCCGTGTCCACATAGCGCCTCTTTCTGAGAGCAAGCTTCTTTTTTGGTATTGATTGTTAAAGAACAGAGATCAAGCCAACTTTCCTAAGCGCCGGTGAAGTCACTGTAGTAAATTGGTGGAGAGCTTGTTTTTGACGGTGTCTCAAAGATGGAACCTATTATAACAAGAACAAAAAAACGTTTGTTGGAGGAGATCGTTTGGCGTAAACTATGTCAAACACATATATAGAAGCACAAACATAAAATAAAATCATCCGGGGGCTAGGCTAGTCTGTCATACATCAGTGCTGCCAGCTCCTTCCTGCCATGTGGACACCGGCCCTTAGAGTTCTTTAGCCTCCATCGAGACAACCTAAAGGTGTTTATTGTTTACCTTAATGTTATGATCTTTGGAAGGAGTCAATCATTACCTATAAATACATCCAATTGTAAGATGTGTACAAAACCTACATATGCCTTATTAGAAAATAAATGTTCCTGAGGTCATGTGGGACCCTTCCTGTCCAGCAGTGGGGGTGCAGGTGTTGTTGACGGAGCCCTGCGGCTCACTTGGCTCTGCTGTGGCTCTTATTTAGCATTTATTCATTTATCTAATTTCCTCCTGGGGCCTTTGACTGTTTCTTGCTGCTCCTCCTTTACCCAATCACTGCTAACAGGACGGCTCTCTGCAGGTTTGGGCTGGAGCCCAGATTGTCTGCGGCTCCACTGGGACGCAGGCGGGCCCCAGCAGACACAATCTGGGATAATTACAGGACTGCTTCAGGAGATGTGTAATCGCACAAGGACGCAAACACACATTTAAATTGCACTCGCAGTGCCTTCTGGGGATCTCGCCCAAATCATCCCACCTCCCCACACACACTTTCTACCTCATCCCAGGGGGGCGCATAAGTACACGCTCTCCCTTCGACAGAGGGAACTTCAAGGAGCTCTGCAACTAGCTTTGGCAGCTCTCGCAGCACTTCAAGCAGCACCAGCCCAGCTCCCCCTTAACACATCCACCTGCACCCCCATACTCATCTTCCCGCTCTCCATCAGTCTTGCTCCGCGTCCCTGCCCACCGCTGTACTGCCGCTATGCAGCATCCGATGTCTTTGCAGCCTCAAAGTCATCTCTGATCTCTATTTCTATCTTTTCCTCCAGCAAGGCTCATGTTATCATTGACTTGAGCAACGCCCCAGCTGTCACACCGCATCTACTGTTTGTGCGTGCATTAAAAGGCACAACAACACACAGTTTGGCCTTGTTTTCCCTCGCCTACCCTCATCTTACCTTACACCATTATCATTTAGATTAGACGTCTCCGTTGATTGTTCAGCGAGTGTGACCGGCGTTAAATAAACTATTAATTGAGCAAAGAACTTGGCTAAGGATGTGACCTAGATCTGAGGTTACGTCCAACTGTCAGCTTAAAGATGCTTTACAGAGGATTTCCTCATTAGTGTGAAATTAGTTGTGACGGCAAACGCTGGCAGGAAAAAAATACAAAAATCCAATTTAAATGTTCCTGGGCTCATTTCCCCACATGTTGGAATGCTTCCGGTAGACTGGTTATTACTTATGAATGAAAAACAGTGGGGAGCTGATATAATGAATATGCCAATAGAAGACAGCTTAGAACGGCCTTTGAATTTAGCTCTGTAAGCATACGCTTCAATTGTCGAAATACTTTCTCTGACGGTGGTTTCCTTACAAAAAATGCTAAAACATGGGTTTCCTACTTACCGCCTGACAAAAGGTCCACTCCGGCCCACTTCATGACTTTGCAGAGTATGACAATTGCCGAAAGTTATTCCTATTTGTCAACTAAGGGTTGCATTGTCCTAATTGGAGTAGCATCTCCTCTGCTGGATACGTTATCATTAATCCCACGTGGTTACATACAGTCTATTCATTATAATACTGTCAAGCTCAGGCTACTATTAATGCAGATATGGAACGTGAGAAAATGTTTGCCCAAAGGCGGATACAGAGTTTTGGGTATTCCAGGAAGAAACCTTTTTCTTACAGAGCTATAATATTTGATGCCGCTTTCACTTTTTTTTTTTGTGCCTCTATATTTCCATGCTTTAATGTTCAAAAAGCTCTTTATTTTTCTCCTGTGCTGCAGCACCTCTTTTCACCCTCTGTCTGAAACCAGAGCCCAGTCTGCTCTGATTGGTTAGCTGGCCGGCTCAGTGGTGATTGGTTAACCGCTTAGAGATGTCCCGCCCCTTAGCCTATCAAGTACAATATGTGTTACATAGTGATGTCACTGCCTGCTTAGTTACTTACTGTTTGAATAGCAACATATTATGGCCAGAAAGAACAATGGTTTGACTGTTAGCATCTACAGTTTTCTAGAGATATACAGACCTCTGGGTCCAAATGTCAAAGCCATTGTGTGATTTCCATAAACTTGCATTATTTATAACGTTGGCTGACATCGCTTGTTTCAAAAATGTAAAATCGAAAAAAAAGTAGAAGCCAGCTCAACTTTGATTTGTAGTGCGTCACACATGAAGGTGCACCTAAACACTGCAAAGCTATTATCAGGATAAGAATCTGAATACTTAATATTGTCCTGAGGTGAAGTTGGGTTTTGTGACTTTTGCCTTTTGTGACATATAATAATAATAACATACAAATATCTATAAAAACCCAAGAATTTTAAATATACAATAAAAGATAAATAAATCAGAACTATTGATTATATACTATTTATATACACTAGTTAAAGTAAAAGAGTGCACACTGTACAATATATAACAACAATAAATATTTAAAAAAAAAATGTTTATTAAAATATACTCAGTGGTGAATTAGTAATAATACTAGTATTATTGTAATGTTATAAATATGATAGATATAGTATGTGCTATAAGTGTATATAAATGTGTGCTGATTTTACGCTGTCAATAATACTCCAAGTCATTTGACTTTAGTGACATCAAATGTGCAAAATCCCAAAATAATGTTTGGCTTTAAACTCTCACAGGCGTAATTAAAGATACTTTTCTTTGGGTGTGCAGTGTGGTTAATTCACGCATCTTTGACATCTATCCTAAGTGATGAAAGAGGGACTTTGACGTGACAGAAGCATTGGCTTTTCAAATGCGACACATTGATCAGGTTTCTGGGGTATTCCAGTGGCTGCTGTGTTAACTGAGTGATCGTCGTGCTGCTCACTGATCCAATCACTGGCTGGAATGTCCCCAAAACAGGACATCAGGTGAAAGCACACAGACACTTTGAAAAGTCAAATACCAAAATGGAACTTTGTTTATATGTCTCATCTTAACATGCACACTGTAACCATGTCCGTTTCTTAATTTGATCCTTCTTATTTTATGAATGTGTTAGTTTTAAACAAAAATGGATAACTGATGTTTGTGCTTTCTATTTGTTAGTATTTGTGAGTATTTGCGAGCAGAATGCATCTTTACGCACATGCTGATGGACAAGCTGTTTTAATGGTATGTCATGACGGGCAGCACATGACGGTTTTGTGGGCCCTCCACTGAAAATCTTCTTTGCAGATTTGCTTTGGTACCGGGTCTGAGTTAAGGCAACACAAATCAACTAGGATACAACTTTAGATTCATGATTTTTACTCGACAGGAAGGAGATCAAAATCATAATCTGAAATCTGTCAAATGAATGTAGTGGAGTAAAAAGTAAAATACTTCCCTCTAATATGTAGCACAGTCGCAGTATGAAGTAGCATCAAATGGAAATACTTCAAGAACAACTACCTTGAATTTGTACTTTAGTACATCAGTTGAGTGAATTACAGTACTTGGTTACATTCCACCACTAGCCATTTTGACTTCAGTATCTGAATGTCACTCATCAGAGATGGAAACCTGCTGTTTTTGTTGATTTCCCATCTGTTGTCCTGGTGGATGATCTGCTTTTGGATTTACCATACTAAAAATGTTAAACTGATGGCAATAGCTTTGAAGAACTCCGATCAAACCTACTGTGTCACACTTCCCTGAAATTGTACTTATTTATGCCTCAGAAATGCATCTACTGTCTGAAAATGGGATTAAACCTCCCCCACCTTTACCGTCTCCGTTAATTTGAGAACCTTTGCTCTTCCCTTATTTCCATTTTACAAACACATTCTCTTTCTGTATGTTCTTGGCACTAATGAAGCTCTGAAGCGTGTGGACTCGGCATTAGTGATTGACTTCACACCTGCTCTTTGCTCTCTGTAACTAGCTCAAGGACACTTCCAATTAGCATCCAGGCTTTGGTACGCTAGCTCGGCTCCCTAGGCCTACCAGGGCTTGGAGCATTTGATTGTCAGTAGCTTATGAACACACTGACTGCGTGGAGAGAAGCCTCAGTGCATTTCATTTTTCCTCCCTCCTTTTCTCCCGCTTGTAACTCTCATCTCTCCAATCTTTCGACAAACTGGCAAAGCCTTTAAACAAAGTTAGATCAGTTCCCCCATTCCAACATTATTCATGAATATTAAAACGAGGACGAGCGGAGATATACATAGAGCGTATTTCGGAACACAGTCACGCGCCGGTAGTCGTCAACGTGACTATCATTTATATTCAGATTTGTTATTCCTGGTGCACCCCTCGTGTCCTCTAACTCAACTGATAAGGAGCTGCTCAGTATCCGTCGGTATAACCTCGCCGTGATGCTCTTATCCCAAACAACATTGATGATTCAATGGCACTTTTTGAACCTGTCTTTCCATTCATTGTCTTTAAGTGTAGGATGAGACAAAGCAGTCAGGTCTTGAAGGGAAACGTCTTTGGAGACACCCTTGCGGTGACATTGATGATGAGTTTGCGAGAGGCAGCTCTTCCGGAACATCTTTTTTCTTTGACTTACAGGAGTTCATTCGTTTTTTCAGACGCTGTACCGTAAGCAAAAGTTCAGAAAAGTCAAACAAATAACTCTGTGTACCTTGTTTCACCCCGTCACAGGTCGGGGTCGTGCTGCACTACTCGTCTCTGTCGACCATGCTGTGGCTCGGGGTGACGGCCAGGAACATTTACAAGCAGGTGACCAAGAAACCTCCGCAGAGCCAGGATGGTGACCCGCCCCCACCCCCTAAACAACCCCTATTGAGGTAATGTCTTCACGACCCCTCTCAACCCTCACTGCCATGACACGGACATCATTTGCTGTATGCATGTGTTTTTTTATATTTCTTGATGCTTGTTGCGTGTGTCTTGAGAGGCCAAGGACTGGTTCACTGTGCAATTATTTGCTTCCCTATTTCCTTTAGTACATCACCTGGCTTATACTCTGAGATGCAGGTGCCAGATATGATGGGATATGGACTGCATTTATAAATATATAGCGCTTTTGCAGTCTTTGTGACACCTACAAGTCAACATTCACCCATTCACACACATTAAAGCAGAGGCTGCCATACAACTGGCCAGATAAACTAACATTCACACATCATGGGCCACTGAGAGCAATTTAGGGTTAGGGTTAGGCCATTGGAAGCAATTTGGGGTATCTAAGGACACAAAGACATGTGGGGATCGATACACTGACCTTTCAGTTGGTAGACCACCACTCTACCCCGGAGCCACAGCCGTCCTACAATCATTCCTGTCCCACCTTGTACTTATGATTCGAAGCATTGAGGAAATAAGTATTCAAATTAAAAAAAATACTCTATAAGCACACAACATTCTGAAAAGAAATGGCCACTGTGACCAATTATGTTTAAGCATATTTTATATTATTGAATTGTTGATGCATTAATGTAAGAATAGCATTTTGATCACGGTTTTGACTACCTAGTGGTTAGGGCCTTCTCCAATGATTCACCCTGGGGGGGTTACAAAATAATGAATGGGGGGAAGAAAAAGAAAAAATGATGCAATTAAAAATAATTAGCTACACCCTTCTTCCATGTTTTATGAAACTTGGGCCAGTAGTTATTTTATTTGTTATTTTGGGTTTTTTAATTGTTCCTGTTGACAGCCAAACCAGACAAACTTGTACCTATTTCATCAATCATACGTTAAATAAATATAATGAGTAATTGGTAATAAAAAAACTCATATAGATCATACTGTATGGGACCATTTTTGTATGGGGTCACAAGACAAGATCTTTAATAACAATGCAACTCATTTACAGATTACCGGTTCATATATTCATACCGATTAGTTTCGGTTTTAATAACACATTTTAAAATGGATGTGGTGTTAATTGAAGGTATTGTATTCAGTCATGTCGGTGTGTGCGTGTGTGTGTGTGTGTGTGTGAATACAGGTGTGTGTATTTGAGCATTTGCCTGTTGATTTATGCTACTTTCTCTATGTTAATGTGTTTTTCTTTGGTGTTTGCCTGCTCATGTTTTCTTTAGATGACAACAAAAGCTTTTCACAGATGAGTTATTGCATGCTTTATCTGGGGGGACATCCACAGCTAGTTTGCATTCTTTCAAGCCCGTGGCTTTGTTCACTTTGCAGTAAAAAGCTGTCAGGTCTTCCTATTTGTACCGCTTTGGCTCTCCTTGTGGATTTCCCCCACATTTGCTCATGTTAAGAAACAACATCTTTAATCTGAGTCACTGTCAGCCGTGAGGAAAGAAGTCTGTGCTGTTAAGGGTAATGATTCTCTTAATGTGAAAATGAGTCTGAGAAATGCCAGAGATAAGAGGAGCCAATTGAATTATTTTTAATCGCTTAAACGCATCATCTGTGGCATTCTAGCTCCATCTCACCTGTTGAAGGTTAATTTCAGGCTGAAAACAGCTACTATTTTAGGGTTCTCATTAAGTCCAATGAGTGTGGAAATCAAGACATTGACACAGTTAGGTTAGAAGTCTAACTAGCGACAGCTTAAATATCTTTTTTTTGCTCCTTTCCAGTCCCAAACAGCTGTGCTTGAACTTGGAGGTGTATGTAAGAAAATGACAATCAAGCTATGATATAAAAAGAAAAACAGGAATGTTGTCCCATGTAACACAAACCTTGCTTACTCTTTGTGTTTCTACTTGTATAGTTTACAGATAAGAAAAACCTGGGCATTTGTCTAGTTAAAAAGCTTTGGTTTAGATCACTGCTGTTCACAAAGAAGCTGAGGATTAAACTGGGTGCGCTGTACAGGATTGATAGATACCCTTTTGGGGGAAAACATTGAAATAATTACAGATGGTAATAAAAAATAGACAGATATGTGTCCGATCATTTTAAGTGCATGTTGGATGATGTGGTTGTTATACCGTTTTTCATTTAATTTATTTGTTTTTATTTTACATTTTCACATGTTTTTGCTGTTCCTTTTTGGCAAAGATGCAAATGAAGGCTTGAGTGCCAGCGTAATAGCTACAAGGTAGTTGTCAGGCTCCTCTAACAGAGCAACACACAAGATAGTTAACATATAAAATAAATAAGTACAAAACAGTGCAAATATATAAGTGAAAAGAAGGAAGTAACAAGTCAACTATGTAGATGGAAAATAAAATAAGATAAGCCAAAAATATAAAATGAAATACTGTACAGTGTAATAAAAGGAAGATTTTATGGATGACAATTATATTATTTTTTTAGTTTTAAAACATATTTAAACCATTCCCATTAGTAATGATACACATTTTTACACACATTTTTTTATTGTTTTATTAATTAATTCACTCATTTATTTATTTTAAAAATGTAACAGGGACAGTGCACATTAGTTAACATTGCTGCCAGAGCTTTTTCTATCTGTAGTCGCTGGACAGATGTTGCAAAGTCACTCAAAAACACATTTTAAAATTCTACAAATAAAAATGTCATAAAATAATTTAGAAACGTGCATTATAGAGGCTCACAATAAAGGACAAGTGAATACAAACAAAAAACAGTTACAGCAAAGAGAGTGAAGGGCAGATGAATGTCAGGATGAGGTGGAGGAGGAAGAAGGACGAAGAGGTGACTGACTTTAAACAACCTGTTACCATGGCGTCACCCCCATGCTATAACTAATTACCCCAATCACCCAGGAGGCTGCAGAGCCAGGGGCAATCACAAATCTAAATGCAGTTTGCCATTTGACCCGTTTTATTTCCTATTCGCTCAGACACACATCAGATTGAATTTGAGCTTTTTGTAATTTCCAACTCATTCTCCACCCTATTCCTTTTCTGCACCGTCACGACCTTTGGCATGTTTAAGAGGATCAGCTGTTGGAACCACACGGTGCTCTTCCTCTGCGGTGAAAGGTGCTGTGTGAGCTCTTCTCACTGCGGCTGCTGCAGAGCTGAACTCCAGAAGCTCCGAGCACAAATCCTTTTAAGGGACCGTTCGAGAGCCAAACTGAGGGCGTGGTGTGGCGAATGTCAGTTTGTCATTTTAAACCTTATATTTGTTTTGAAATGTAATTTCCTCAAAGCTATTGGAAGTTCCCTGTGCCCGTTAGGTTGCTTGATTCTTTTTTCTTGAATATTACGAAATATTTTGAAGCTGATTCAGCGAATGAACCAACATAAGAAAACGATTTAAACATGTGGAGTTACACTGCATATGAACCCCATATGGAATAATTGCTTTACGGTTTGCTTCCTTTTACGCTTATTCCATTGAATATCAGTTAGGTATGGGGGTTATTCCCTATCTGTATTCAAGAGCGTGGTCTTTACATTTGAGAGCATAGTTTATTGATTTCACAGTCAGATTATGTATTGCTTTCCCTCAAACCCTGTCCTCGCACTCAAATAGTGCCTGCTTGGACTTAGATTTGCTCTGCTTCTGCTCAAACTGTACGCTTACACTCAGATAAATTGCTGCTTGCACAGATTTCCCGTGTTCCAGCTTAAAACCTTCTCCTCGCACTCAGGCTGTTTCTGTGCGCTGGTCAAATGTCTGCTCTCAGATTTCTGCTCTGCGCACTTGGATTTTTTGTGCAACTACCCTGTCAAAATCTCTCAACCAATAGGAGGCCAGGTGTCCTTGCGGGTGCGTTCGCTTTACTTATTAGAGCGTCCCGTAAGGGCGGTTACTCTTTGGTTTATAAACTCCCGCCCTCCACGGCTTTATTACATGTACTTCACTTGATTCATTTACAACTTTTGGGGTAAAAAAGCACAGTTAATATATAAACTAAGCACAATCCGTCTAAAATAAGCCTATGTCTAAAATGGACAACATTGATTCTGCACTGCGGTCAACTCAGCCGTCTCTCTAGTTTTTTCTTTTCAAATCAGAAAAACATGCATTATGTAGGCTACTATGGGGGGACTTTGACAGAGGATTACTCACAAAGTACACAGTAAAAGTACTTCATTTTATTTCTGGTAGCAGTCAAACTAGTACCTACGGGACATGGAAAAAAGAAAAAAAAAAAAGAGAGAGAAAGAAACTTTCTCGTGCGCACGAGATACTAACCCGTTATCCCGACTTTTTTTTTTTTTGAGAAAGTTACCGTTGCGCCAAGGAGGAAGTGGAGCGCACAGGAGCAGCAAGTCCTCCAACTCATACGACCAAATAGGTTGATTGTTCAAGCACTTATTACGACCTATAATCACGTTTTAAAGTTTTCGACCTCTAGTGCTCCCGTCAGGGGCAGCGCCAGGCGGTAGCTTGCAGTTGCTACAGCAACACCAACAATTGGCCTAGCAACTGCTAAGCAACCCCAAGAAATGTATGTTTTTTTTTTATATATGTGAAATTCATCATTTGAAAAATGATTGATTCGAAAATGATATGCTACAGTACAGTACAAGTAGCCTACTTCTGGGTGTTTCATTCAAGCTCGGCTCCGTGTGTGTGGCAAGAGCGCACGAGTGAGCGAGCGAGAGAGAGAGAGAGCAAGATTGTTGTTGCTGCGCTAACGGATATTAGAAGCTGTTTCTACAACTAAGTGAAAGGAAAGTCCTCTCCTGTCAGATAACCTCAGCTCAGTGAGGTAAGGACTCTCTCAGTGTTTAGATAGTTAACTTTAGTCTAAGTTATCTCAGTGGGTCTCAAAACAGTTTGATCACCATTTATGTAAACAAGTATTTCCGAGGCACACCTTCATATGATCATTATAGTTAGGCTATAAAACAATAAGAGCATAAATGAAAAACCGGTATGAAATACTATATGACAGTAAAATAAGAATACAGTTTAAAAGGAGAGT